CCCCCCATAGAAAGATATTGAAGTTGCCAAGAAGTTAATTTCCTTTTGAATTTTTCAATAGCACCATTCTATACCTCACAATTTTTGAATTTGGCTCCCAATGGAAGGCCCAAGTATGTGGTAGGTAGTGACCCAATACTGCAGCCCATGATACCTGTGAGCTCCTCTATGTTGGGCACATGATTGACATGATAAATTGTACTCTTCAATACATTGACATGTAATCCTGATAGAGCTTCGAAGAGAAGTGTTAGATTCAGGTACATAACTTGAGATTTCTCGGCCTCACAGAAAATCAAAGTGTCATCAGCATACAATAGGTGAGAGATAGTGATTGAGTTCCCAATATCTGAGCCTATTCTGAATCCCTGAATCCACTGTAATTCTCTGGCCTTCTCCAACATCTTGCATAGCCCCTCCATGGCTAGAATGAACAAGAATGGGGAGAGTGGATCTCCTTGCCTAATCCCTTTCTGGGGTGAGAAGAAGCCTGCTGGTTCTCTGTTAACAAGCACCGAGTACTTAACTGTTGAAATGCTGAATTTGATCCACCTTATCCATTTATCTCCAAATCCCATCTTCCTCAGTATAGAGATTAGATAAGCCCAGTTCAACTGGTCAAAAGCCTGCTCTATATCAAGCTTGCACATAATGCCCGGGTGTCCAGTTTTAATCCTCCAATCTAGAGCCTTATTGGCTACGAGAGCTGCATCAGTTATTTGTCTGTGTTTGATAAAGGCATTATAGTGACTAGAGACTAGCTTGCCAATGACCTTTTTCAACCTTTCTGCTAACAACTTGGCCACAATCTTATAAACACTGTCAATAAGACTTATTGGCCTGTAATCTTTAAGCTCTATTGCCCCTTTCTTTTTAGGGATCAAGGCAATGAAAGAAGCATTGCATGATCTCACCACGTAGCATTGCTGATGGAAGTGATTGAGTGCCCCCATTAGCTCTGACTTGATGAACTCCCAAGTGTTTTGAAAAAAAGCCATAGCGAAACCATTTGGGCCTGGAGCTTTGTCTGATGCACAAGATAAAATGATAGTATGTACTTCCTCTTCCTCAAAGGCTTTCTCCAGCATTTCCCTATCTTCCCCTAAGAGCCTCGCCACTTCAACAAAATTGGCAGTTGGTCTCCGCTCCTTATTCTCTGTGTATTTATCTGCTATTGCCTTAAATCTAGTTTGCTTTGCAAAGCAGGAGTACAACTTCCCCAGATTCATTTTCCCCTAGTGTATGCGCACAGTCCTAATTGAAAACGCGCTCGTACTTGTCTGATCTACCTGGGTGCAGGGAATTGCAGATAGGTGGTTCACTCTTAATAAGTGGGGTGTCAGGTTGGGATTAGAGTGGCAGTTTGACGTGCACAGCAGAGGGAATCGTGTTGTCAGCCTTTAGTATATGACTTGAGACCGGCCCTCAAGAGTGTAGCCTAATGGTTGATGAAGTGGGAGGAGAACCATGAGGTCAAAGTTTCAAATTCAAATCTAGGCAAAAAACACAAGTAACCTGGTACTTGTGCTTGTGGGAGGTAGCGTATACCTGGTGGAATTAGTCAAGGTGTACGCAAGTTGGCGCGTACACCACCATTATAAAAACAAGAACTTGAGACCAAATAACTTAATTATTTTGGTTAAAGAAAAATTTACTTCTTGAGCCGAGGGTCTTTCGGAAATAACCTCTCTACTCCCTCGGGGTAGGGGTAAGGTCTGCATATACGCTGCCCTCCCCAGACCCCACTAGTGGGATTTTACTGGGCGTTGTTGTTGTTGTAAAGAAAAATTTACTATGTGTGAATCATTGACTAAGTTGGTGTTTGCTTTTCTTATCATTTCCATGATGTGGCTTGAGAGGATCTATTTGTAGTTTTTGTACTGGTTTTTGATTGGTGTAGGTGGGAAAAGTGCTATACTGACAGCATTATGTGTGGCATTTGGGAGCCGCGCTAGAGGCACACAAAGGGCCAATACACTAAAGGATTTTATAAAGACAGGCTGCAGGTTTGTTATTGTTTGATTCTTACCTCGTTCTATTTTGCAAAGAAGCATTTATTGTCCTCTATTTGTGGATTGTGTTAAAAGCTTTTGAGTTTATTTTCTAGTTTTAAATTACTGTTAGAACTTAGAACCGATGAAGATAAGCTTTAGAGGAAATGCCCGTCTGATGTGATTCATGGATAAAACAGAAAGTTAAATATAGATTAATATCTTCAGTATATATCCATGTTATGGAGGCTTGAAAGTCGAATGATTCTCTTCTTAATTTATCAAAAAAAGAAAACATTGAATGAGTATAGCCACAAAAAAAAGTTTTCTTTCTATATATAAAGAAAATGGAAACAAACAAATGGATACATAATATCATAAATATATACCGGGGAATTTCTTTTATTTTCTTAATGAAGTAGGAAATACTATTCAGTCTGGTATTCATCTCATTAATCATCTCTCCTTTAGCTAGATAATCTAAGTTGAATTCTATGTTTGAGTTTCTACTAATGTGCTTATAAGGTGCTGGTAATTTGTATCTATTCACAGCCATGCCCTTGTTCACGTGGAAATAAAAAACCGAGGAGAGGATGCTTTCAAGGCAGAAACTTATGGTGACCTCATAATTGTAGAGCGCAGGATCTCAGAGTCTACCGGTTCTATCGTTCTAAAGAATTACCAAGGTTTTGTATTGTGATTTCAATAGCTCTTTCTAGTTGATAGAATATGCTAGTATCTATGAACATATAGAATATGTAAAAGGACAGCAATCTAAAGTTATGTGATATTAGAAAGCTTATATCTTGCTTTTTACTGAAGATATCTGTCAATTAAGATGTTATTGTCTCGTGTGCTTGCTTATTTTTGTTTCCTGAGATGTTCTGTTGAAGAATTCGCATTACAGAACTGATGTAATTAGTTGTTGGTTATTGCTTTTAAAAAAATTCCTGGTAAAGTAAATTTTTAGTCATAAACTTTTGTCCAAAGTCCAGCTGAACCTTGTTTTCTTCCTTGATTTTTTTTTTTTTTTCTGAATTTGGTTTGGCAGTTTGTTAGGGTCTTCCCGAAGCACATTGATATGGAAATTCGTTTGGATATCGTACTAGCTTTGCTCAACTGGATTTGGGAGTAATTTGTGTTGATATTGGTTGTGTGGCCTGATGAATTTACAATATACTAATTCTCTATCTATCTGTGTCTGTTCCTCCTTTTAAGTTCCTAACTTTAGGAGTTTAATCCAATTCTTCTGAAATTTGAAGACCAAGTTGGACACCAAGCCGTGCAACATTTGTGCATCATGTTTTCAGTTTCCAGTTCACAAATTCTAAATCATTGCTTTTCATGTCACATTTGATGATTCATTTAATAATCAAAGTTAAGAAAAGTTCATCAAGCTTCCAATTTATGCTTGTGGAGGCAGAGCTCAACTAAACTATGTTACCTTGCTTATTATCCTTGGCTCATTGGGTGGAGCTTGTCGATTTCATGCTGGATCTTCTTGTTTTTCCTTATCCTTTTTTCCTTCTTCTAATGGCATTTAACAGGTAAAAAGGTGGCTGCCAAAAGAGAGGAACTCCAAGAACTTATAGTTCATTTCAATGTGAGTGCATGCCTAGACAGAGAATTTGTTCTTAATTTATTGGTGAAGCTTAAGCTTTACTTCTCCAAAACTGATAGGCTTTTTAGTTTTTATTCCTTAATAAGCACGAATATGAGCAAGTGCAGGGAATCATTGACTTCCTTTTTATGCCATTATAGAAATTAGGCGTTTAGTTATTGTGCATTTTTTATTATGCAGATTGACGTGGAAAATCCATGTGTAATAATGAGTCAAGATAAAAGCAGGGAATTCTTACATTCCGGAAATGCCAAAGACAAGTTCAAGGTGAGGGGCTTAATAGCTAACATTATCAGGTGATGCTTGTGTAATTTGATCTTCCACTTGGTAGCCTTCTTTCTGCTGTGTTTATATTTCGTTCTGAGTTTAGAGGTTGGCCAGCATTGTTCGTTGAACTTTGTCTTTTTCTGTTTCATGTTTTTAGTTTATCAATGACTACTGCTTAATGGAGGGAGATCCTATTTAGTGATTAATCTGCCACTATCATGATACTTTGCAGTTCTTTTTCAAGGCAACACTACTTCAGCAAGTGGAAGATCTTCTGATTGGTATTCAGGTTCAATTGAAAAACGCAAATGAACTAGTTGCTGAACTGGAGAAATCAATAAGTCCTATAGTGAAAGAACTTGATGAGTTGCAAGTAAAGATTAGAAACATGGAACATATAGAGGAGATTTCTCATCAGGTAGACTTGTTGAAGAAGAAATTGGCATGGGCATGGGTATACAGTGTAGACAGGCAGTTACAAGATAAAAGTAAACGGATTGAGGAGTTGAAAGGACGGATTCCCACATGTCAATCTCGAATAGATCAGCATCTTGTAAGTGCTCTGATTCTTCCCTGAGAAAGTTATGCTCAGAGTCATAATGCCTTTGTTATAACCGTCTCTTGAAGCTTTCTCCTCTTCTGCATATGCTACCGGAGACTTCTTCATTTCTTTGCTGTAATGTTTATTAGTATGACAATCCTGCCCTTGTTAGAAGCGGCTGGCCTTAGTGCCTTTCTGGAGATGGTGCTATCCTATATATATAAAAAAGAAGTGGATAATAAAGAGTAGAGTGTTATTGTTCTTATTATATTATCAAATGAGAACGAACATCAGTAAATATACAGCAGAGACATAAGTTTTTTCAACCAGCGACATATCCTAAATTCAACAATGAATTTGAATAATTATGAAAGAAAATTGAATTTATCGATTGATCTTTCCGCTATTGTCAGACTTCTGTTTCTTTCTTCCTTATGGATTCCTGAAGTAACTAATCTTCCCCTTCCTCGTGTGTAGTAAGGTGTTGACTGGTATGCTAAAGAGCTAGCGTTGGATACTGGGATAAAGAGCGTAAGCCCTGAAGTGAGGTTCAAAACATGTTGAGCACTTCGCCTCGCTTTGTGGGCGCTTCAGTGTTGCATCAAGGCTCTAAGCCATACTTTGCCAATGAGTGTAATCCTGAAAAGACAACAATAATTAATTCATACTTCACTTCATTATAATTTTTTTCCAATTTCTTTGTCCATATATTTGTTATTCATGCTTATAATTATTGGTGTTAGACTACACATACATATTTTTACTCTTTCTCTAGTTGCGCCTTTTTTCATTAAAGCCCACACTTTACTTGCGCTTTGCGCTTAAAGTCCCAACGGACCCTGGAGCTTTTTTTGCGCTTTTCGCCTTTGATAGCACTGCTTTGGTTGCATCCCCTGCCTTTGATCTTGTCCCCTGATCTCTCCTACTTCAAAAAGGGCAAATAGCGTGATAACCGTTGTCCAGCCATTTTCTTCTGCTTGACCTGCACTGGCTTCAATGGCTGCTCCAACTTTGTCTTTTTTCTGTCAGGCAGATGGAGCAGAAAGGTTATGTTTACTCTTGGGATTAGGAATTTCAATGGCCCTTTATTTAATTTTTATGTCTTTGGTTTATCCGAACTTCTCAGGCTGGTCCTCCTGTTGTGAGTTAATGGTTATCCAGGCAAAATTTTGTGCTGCCTTCGAATGGGCGTTTTCTGCTGAAAGCTTGGTCCATTTTTTTTATTTATTATGGACTTAACTAGCTTTTGGCCTTGCTTGTGGACCTACTTAATCGATGTTTAAAACACCTTACTGTACTTGCTTCCTCTGACTGTATATCTTGTCCTTGCCTTGACTGTGGGACCGTCTGCACTGCTAGTGGCTTCTTTAGGGTTTTCCTGATAGTTTCTTGCAACCAGCTCTCTGTATTGGCTGCAACCTGTTTTCCATCATGATATTGTTGTGGTTTAATGGGTTGGGCACAATTTTGCTCCTTTCCACCAACAACCAAATATTGTTAAACAAAACATTCCGTCGGCTATTATAACAGACTTAGAATGGCTGACTCGTCCATTTCAAGTGAGTAGTTTCACTCGACATGTCCTCTCTTCCACTAATGTGATAGCAACATCAAGGAGTCTGTCACACAACTCAACTATTCACCGTAACTGGTCAGTCGTAAGCCAGCAATGCAAACAACAACATCAACAAACCCAGTGTAATCCCACAAGTGGGGTCTGAGGAGGGTAGGGTGTATGCAGACCTTACCCCTAGCTTATGAAGATAGAGAGACTGTTTCCGATAGTCGTAAGCCATCAATGCGTATTGCAATAATCTGCTTTTATCTCCTTCACACATTTCAACCTCCTTGGAAGGGCTTGTGGTCCACGAGGAGGAATGGGTCCCCCAGCTGCCAATGTCCTTCTCCAGTACCCATTTTGCCTTAAATGCTGATGGATTTGAACATTACAACAGCTTGCTTAGTGGAGAAACTCTCAATTGGGCTGAGACGTGCTATTACCTTTTCTGCATGTGGATATTGTCTCTCAGGCGGTACAACTTGCTTGTCAATGTTCTGACTAGACTTGCTTTAAGAACTCCTTTCTCCTTTCCACTTCATCCATAAAGCCTGAGCATATGAACTAGGCATTTGGACAATATTTTGTTGAAGTTAAAATAAAAGGCTTTTTGAAATTGAAGTTGAAATTAAGTTTGTGTTTGGGAATGAACTTCACTTGAAAATAAGAGGGTGATTTATGATTGGAAACCATTATTTCACTTGAAACACTCCTCAAACTAGCAGTTCAGTATTTCAAATAAATGTTCATCATTTGCAAATACTAATGTCTAACCAGTATTTGCAATACTGATGTCTAACCAGTATTTGCAATACTGATATATTTGTATATGGCGAAACAAGATATATTTTCCTTCTAAATAAAGAGTTGGCCATGCTGTCATAACGGTGCACACAGTGTATGTGATTTTTTCTAGTCTGATTCAGTGGTTTCTCATATTCTTTTCTCCTCTTGTTTTTCAAAGATTAAATATCTAAATAGCTAGAAGGAATTAGGGGATACATTCTCTCTCTCTCTCTCTCTCCCCCAAAGATTCATCTAGCTTGAGTCAAATACAGGATAGGTAAGATATTGTTGCTATTCCTTTCTGTACCAACCTCCACTACTTTGGGATTGAGGCGTTGTTGTTGTTATTGATCTCTTTCTGTACCAAAGTCATAGAGGTCTTAGTGGTTAGGCGGTTACGGTAATTTTACTTGTGATCAGAAGGGAACATTCACAATTTGTCGTTTGTATTCTGTGGTGAAACTTTTGTTTGTGACTGCATTTTCTACCCTTCTCTTTCTCTTCTTCCATAGTTCATTTGTTACTTCACATTGCTTGATCATATGATGTCTTATTCCTAGAAAAGCACTAAGCAAACTTGGTTTGGTTGACAGAGGAAGATGGAGGAATTGAACGATCAGTTGGCCAAGAAGAAAGCTCAAATTGCTCATTTGATGGAAAAGACATCTGAGGTGAGGAGGATGACAGAAGAGTTGAAGCATAGTCTTTCTTCGGTATGTGAGCACTTCTCATATAATTCCGTTTCTGATTTGGATAGTGTTATTTGATAAGTATGATGATTGAATGATTGTTTTGTTGTCGTCCTAGTTTTGAGTTTTAGCTGACTCCCAATTCTGCTACTCTTGTTCTTTATACAAAAACAACTATGCCTCAATTCCAAGCTAGTTGGAGTCGGCTATATGAATCCTCATTATCCATGTTCATCCTTTTAGACCTTGTTCGTTATACTGAAAGAAATTTGTTCCTTTCCTTTGTCTCCTTACATATTGTCCATGTATAGCTGGGAAATTAAGTTATCAGTGTGTATATATAGATCATCTTCGGTGGTGAACTATTTGTACAAAGTACTTGCCATGTGTTGCTCCTTCGACTGCGTATTTCCTGTTGAAGATGACTGAAAGCTGTATCTATTCAAATGCTCTTTCTCCACTTCTATCTTGATGCCAAAACCTTTCTTTAATATGTGAATTTCGTTTGGTAGGCTACAAAGGAAAAGCTTGAGCTGGAGGAGGAGTGGCGTCGTAGAGGTAATTACATCCAAAAGATGGCAAAACGGGTCAAGATGCTTGAACAACAAATACATGATGTGGATGAGCAGAATATTAGAAATACACAGGTTGTCTACACTGATTTTCTGTACCTCCGCGAATTGATACTTTATTTAATTAGTTCTCAGTACACCCTGATATTGCAAACCTAGAAAGAAAGTCTGCTCCTTATAGAAATGAATGTAAGCTCTTTCTGACCTATTCTTTTATTTCGATCCTTCAGATATTCCTTTCAGCCTTTCTTGGTGTGATTTGGTACCTAGTTTAACTGTAGCTTTCCAGTATTTAAGCTAACAATAGTAAGTCTACTGTACAGTATGGAATTTTCACTGTACTATCTCAGAGGGCAGGGACAGATGGGTGAGGCTTTCTTATGCTATATGCTGACTTTGAGGCTAGCTAGTAATAATGACGCAAAACACCTCTATTTTACTGCCAAGAGTTGTTGTGATCACCCAAAAAGGTCGTTCTCCATGCACCTCAGTTTTACAGTCAAGAGTTGTGATCACCCAACAAGGCTGCTTTCCATGTCTGGGGCTCATGCAGAAGCTATAATTTGTAGACATTTCTCGTGTAAGCGCTGCAATTTGGGCAGAAATGTTGAAAGTGATTTTGACCTCAATAAATCTGCTCATTCTTGAGCCGAGGGTCTATTGGAAACAGCTTCTCTACCTTACAAGGTAGGGATAAGGTTTGCATACACGTTAGCCTCCCCAGACTCCACTTGTGGGATTCCACTGGGTTTGTTGTAAATCTGCTCATTCTCTATGAGTAGCATAGCCTTTTGATATAAAAATGATACTCTGACGTGTTTCCAGCCAGGTGAAAAAGGTGTTTTTTCAGATAATGTCTGTGCCTCATAAAAGCTGTTACTGTAATGTTCGGTTCCATTGTGTGATTCTGGTGTTGAGATAAAAAATAGTCATCCAGGATAAATGTGTGTTCCATTGAATTCAATTCTTCAGCTGACTAAATGTGGGGTTTATGTATATCTTGTGGAAATGATTTACATGCTTCTACATTCCAATTTACTGTAGGCCGAAGAACATGATATGGAGGTGAAGCTGGAGGAGTTCCAAGCTGAGGTTGATAAGGCTAATGTTGTATTTCAAAGGTCATAGGATATGGTGTTTAAGAAATATTTGATTGTGTTACTGCTTGACTGCTTCACGAGTACAGTTCCTTTTTTTGAGAAATTAATCTCTTGATCCAACTGAAGTTTTGAAGCTGTAATATGGCAGGTTGAAGAATGAAGAAGTTACCTTAATTGAGAAAATCAATCAGGCGAAGGAACAGATAAGCAATATCGTTCATGAGGTATGAAGATATTAGCTGATTTTCCTCTTTTGAACAAGCATGCCAGAGTATGAGGAAAGTTTTCCTGACTTTGATAACCTTGTTGATTAATGCTGTGTTCTTTCTTACATCTTTTGTAACAAGACGTTGTAGTTCTACTGTCACTATCCAAAATTGGCTGATTTTCCTAATTGTTTTTCCATTTTTCTCTTAATTTTCATTTTAGGTGCAATTTATAACTTTTGCTTTGGAAATCTTGGGCTTATACTATTATTCTTGGGCTCTTTTAGATTGAAGAGAATGACAAGAAGGATCGTGACATACGCTCTCGCATTCGTGAGCTTCAACTTCATAAAAGCAACAAGGTATCTTAGTTCTATCTGTCGAGGATTGTTCTTTATTCATCTTAGCTTGCTTGGAGGGAGAAATTCATTTTGCAAAGTTCTTAGGTTCCCCAACTCTAACAATTGATACCTTAGTGGTCTTCCAAATTTTATTAGTTACTTGGGTTTGTATCTTGACACTATCATATGATTTTCTATTTTCCTATGGTTAAATGGTAGATGAACCATTTTATTTACCACTTTCAACAATTGTTTCAAAGATCATCAGTTAGAATTGTATATTGGCAGTCAAGAGCTCAAATATAGAGACATATGATAGCTAAGAGAATTAAACATGGGACAATATATATCTCAGTGACGTATAATGCCATCTTTTACAATCAACCCTTTGTTTTTTATTCTTATCTTTGTCGAATGAATGCAAAGAGCACCTCAATATTCTCTCTGATTTTTCTTGTGTCTTCTCTGCTTTCTGTTTACATCTGCCTTCTTTAGCTTATTATATCAATAAGCTACGCTTTCATCATTTATTAAAAGATCTTCTCTGTCCGAGTGTTGTTCAATTGATGTTAATAGACTTGAGGGTGGAAACTTGGCATGACGATAGCCATATACATAAGCAAGCAGAACTGTCCTGCAGTTTCTGTTGTTTTTTATTCAGCTATCTGTGGAGTTTTTCCTGTTTTCTTATGTATTAACATGACAAGAAGATTAATATTCCAAATCTCACTTTAAGAGGAAGTTTCTGATTTTTTTAACTGTGCGGTTAACACGCAGCTTAACTTAATATAATACCCAACAGGGTTGGAGGCTAGAGTATAGAAGATATTATCAGGATTGTGAAATTGACAGAATATCCTGTTAATTGGAAGAGCCGAAGAGGTCAAGGAACTAACAGCAGAATATAACTTCATATCCTTGATGTTGGGAGTAAAAAGTTGTGGGTGATTCTCAGTGAAGTCTTGTTACCATGCATTGCAAGGAAATGAAGTCACCATGACTGTCCTTGGAGATGATAGGGGAAAACAAACCATCTATTTTTGCAGTGTATAAGTGTAACAACATTATGGAATATGGAGCATGTTACTTTAACTTTTCTTATATCAAGTGGTTGATACCAAGATCTCTGAAGGAAGCGCTTTTGAGCTGGTCAGGTTGGAGGACTGAAAGAATTTGGCAATATTTGAAATAGAACTCGGATGCATTTTGTGGATCTTTTGGAAGGAGAGGAACACTACGTGCTTACAGAAGGGAGCAAAACACACACAAATGCTTGTGTGTTTTAACTTCATCATGCAACATGACAGATGTATTCGATTCACTTATCTATAAAAGTAAAAGAAAAAGAAAACAAAGATGTATAAAATATCAACTCCTTTCTTGGAACTCTTAACTCTCTAGGATCTATGGGAGAGGAGGGGGGTTCATGCACTTTTTTAATCTCAATGTAAATAGTCAGCACCTCCTTGTTTTGTCTTCAATAATTTAATACAATCATCGACGTACAAATGGAAGGAACTTTCTCTAATCAATAAAAAGAGAACTATGTCTTATTATTGAAGACTTTTTTAAATCATAGGTTATACCTTGTTCTTGTCAATTTAAGTTGTAAAGATGATAGTAAAATAAATGAAATTTTATTGTGATTCACTTTTGGTTTCAACATAGATGCCCGGTGAGTAGGTATGAGAGGCTAGCCATGGTGGGACTGAGGAGAGGTGGGGGTAGGCCTAATAAGTATTGGGGAAATGTGATTAGGCATGACGCGCAACTTCAGCTTATTGAGGACATGGCCCTTGATAAGAAGTTGTGGAGGTCGAGAATTAGGGTAGAAGGTTAGTAGGTAGTCGTGCGTGTCTCCTTTTCATAACATAGCTTTACTATTAGTCTTGTATTTTCATTTTCATTCTTTCGCTTCGGTTATTATCATTTATCTTGCTGTTGTTATTGCTTGTCGTTTTTGCTTCTTTTCATACGGGGGTCTATCGGAACAGTCTCTCTATCTTCTCAAGGTAATGGTAAGGCTGCGTACACTCTATCCTCCCTATACCCCACTTTGTGGGATTACACTAGGTTCGTTGTTGTTCTTCTGGTTTGTGGTCCACCTCTGGCAGCATAAGAATCTGTATAAGAATTTATACGGAAGTAAAAATTAAAGACTTATTTGCATTTCCTAAATCATTATTTTGTCTTTATTTCTTTGCAAACCTTTGTTGTTTGTACTAATTTCCTTTTCTCAGGTTACAGCCTTTGGAGGAGGTAGAGTGATGGGCCTTCTGGAGGTGATTGAAAGACATCATAGAAAGTTCCAGAGGGCGCCGATTGGTCCAATAGGTGCTCATGTGGTATGTGATGGATAAAATTTATTGTACATCTGTGGAGTATATCTTGTCCTGTTTTTCTTTGCTGAGCTTACAAGCAACTGAAGACTGATTCTTCTTTTGTCATTTCCACAGTCAGATATGGTCATTATTCCATTATAAATGTTTTCATTATCCCCTCAGTTTGTTAGGGTTATTTACTTTTACAGTTGGCCATCAACATGAACGTACCAAATGGAAAAAATTGTACAAAAGTGGTGAATCTTTTAGATTGTTATGTACCTTAGAGTTAAGTATAATAGTTAACTAAAACATTGTGCTAAGAGGGTGAATCTGTTAGATAGTTATGTAATGAAGATTAGACTTAAATGTAATATAGTTGACTATGTATATGTTTCTACCTTGGGTAAATGTTAAATTGTACATTAAAACTGTGAATTTAAAACGATTTAGGCCTATGGCATTGGAACTCTCATGCGCTCCTCTCAACTCTTTCGCCGCTCTCTTATTCTCATGGCATCTATCACCAATGAAATGTCTGAATAATATTCCTACAAGTATGGTCTTATATATTATGTGCTTCTTCCGCAAAAAAATAGGATTACTGTCCTTCAATTTGGAACCCTCAGCATCATTCTTTACATGCTACTTTACTACCCAAAAGTCATGCTAGAATTGGCATTTCTTTCAGCTTTTAGGATCTACAGTTTGCCTGCCTCACCTCTTGTCCATATTTCTTGCAACAACCTCAAGTTTCGTGTTTTGTCCCAAAGCTCCATTCTAAGAACAATTCCACCTGCCACAATTCAAGTGAGAACTCAGTCATAGTAGCTTCACTAAGAATAAGACAAATTGTTATATAACAGATCCAAATGAAGCCGGCGGATTGTACAAAAGAACAAAAGCTAACCTACTGTTAATATAGTTTAGAAGAAAAGTAAGCTCATTTTTTTGAAGGATTTCCAGACTCGGATTGGTGTTTGTAGCTAGGTATACCCTCTGTCCTCTTAGGCATTTGTAACTGATAACAAATTTCCTTTATAGTCGAAAAGGGAGATTTTTGAGGGAGCATATCATATACTTCACTGATTGTTAGTTTGTATTTGAACGCAAGCATAGAAAGAGGCATGTACCCAAAAGGAGATGTGCTTGGTTATTGCAGGTAGAGCTATCCTCTCGTCCAGGGAGCCTTTTTTTGGCAAATTGTGCAATTTATGTATTAGTGTTTAATACTTTCGTCAATTCTCGTCATTTAAATCCTCCTCAACCTCTGTTTGTATGTCAATTCATTCTACTGAAAAGTGAAACCAAATTAAAATGTAAGGTGATCGCTTCTGTGAACCAAGTTTCAAACAGCTGCCTGTCTGCATTTTCCCTCTGCATTTTCCCTCTGCATTTTCAAGGGGAAATGCATGCTACAGAACATAGAATGGAGCTCATCGTACCTTTGGATGAAATACTGGAAACCCTCTCCTCAATTAACTGTATATTTTACTGGAACCACTCCCAATATGCTTTCCATTTATGCATGTGAATAGGTATTCGACTTGGCCTCCTTGCTACTCTTTAGTTCACTTGTCCTGAGATTCTGTAGTATAACTGTGTCAGATCTACACGAGATGCCCTCCCATAATCACGGTTCTTTGCCCATGCCCTTTTAATTTTTTTTCCATATTATTCTGCCTTCCATGTAGTATAAGTGGATCTGTGGTTTCTTTGTTTTCTATTTCCTGTATTGGTTTTAATTGCATATGCAATTAATATGTTTAGCTTTCTTGCTTGTTTAACTTTTGAGAGCCCATGCTAAACATTTATCAACTTGTTATTGCAGACCTTGGTTGATGGTGACAAATGGGGTATTGCTATTGAAAGTGCCATTGGCTCGCTGCTTAACGGTTTTATTGTAACGGATCATAAGGATTCCCTTTTATTAAGAGCTTGTGCAAGGGAAGCGAATTATAATAACTTACAGATTATCATTTATGAGTTCTCTAGACCAAGGTAATGATCTTGCTCTATATGTTCGATGTATGTATGTATGTTTGTGTGTGCGTGTGTATTGATGAGGATGATTTATGTCCTTACACATCGTTGATGACAATGTATACCAGTCACTTCTGGGTAGATAGATACTTCTCTGGTTTCTGATAAAGCTTTTGCTTGTATTTGTTGGTGTAGGTTGAACATTCCCGATCACATGCTTCCCCGGACTCATCATCCAACTGCAATTTCGGTCCTACGTTCTGACAATCCTACCGTACTAAATGTCTTGATTGATGTGGTAAAGTTGCTATTTCTGTGGGTTAAATTATTCTTACCAAAGCTAAGCTGTTCTTTAGTTTTGTAGCTTCTTACTGATCATAATAAGCGGTTTCGAGTTCAGATTTAATTTATGCGTGGACAGATGATTGCCAATTTGCAGAAAACTCATTTTATTTTCATATCGATTATGTTTATGATAGCTTGGCTTATCCCTGGCAGTCAAGTTCATAATTCCTTTTTTCATTATTCTCCTCTCTGCCGGGGTTTCTCTAAGTTTTTAGTCACGATTTGGGTTCTTATTTATTGCCATGAACTTCAGACTAATTTCCAGTCTCTTGTGTTGATCTTTTGTCACTGTTACATCTGTATTTTTCTGTTGTTTAGGTTAGTTATGCTGATTATGCCTTGATGTTTCCTTTGTCTTGTTAGGGTAATGCTGAGAGGCAAGTACTTGTTAAAGACTATGATGCTGGAAAAGCAGTTGCTTTTGAGCAAAGGATTTCAAATTTGAAGGAGGTTTACACTTCTGATGGGTACAAAATGTAAGATTATGTGGTCTCTCATATGCCGCTCAATTTTGTATCTTCATGCTTGATTGCTTTCCTGTATTCCTGTGAGTAACTTCCTGTCTGGTCTGTTCAAGGTATTGGCTAGGTTGTACATAGTTCGTGTATAGATTCATCAAGTACTTGGCGGGCGAAATTGTTTTTGCCAGTTGGTTTTGATTTATTCTAGATTAATTAAATCTATGAATTGACTTTCATCAGTTTATTTTGTGTGGAGCTGTTTAGGATGACTAACCCGATGCTCTAAACCTGTCCAAAATTTTGAAGTATCCATTCCAACGACAGCAAGTCTGGCAAGAGTTTGTTTATTTCATGGAGAACTGTGGCCATCATTTTAATTCAAGATGGTTTAAACATTATAGTTTGCATTTTGTGAGCCTTAATTAATCTAATTTACTTTTTTTGCATTGCTTGGTTTAGTATTGGCTTGGATAGAACAGTACATTTTGCACTGGCATGATTAACATACTCTAAACTTCCTAGGTTTTCTCGGGGTTCAGTCCAAACTATTCTTCCACCAATGAAGAATGTGAGGAGTGGACATCTTTCTGGTTCATATGACAATCTAATTAAAACTCTAGAAAGCGAAGCATCCGAGGCACAGATGAAAGCTCGACAAACCAGGGGTATGAAGAGGAGTATTGATGAAGAGCTTCAAGGACTCCAAGATAATTTGCAAAGCGCTAAGGTATTGATATTTTTAGCTAAGTGTTCCACCAGAATAATAGCTTTTACTCCCTTTCTAAAGCTGTTACAAGTTTCACTTTGGTTTTACTTATCATAATCAAAGTGTTTTCCCTTTCTTCAGTAGTTCTTCAAGTTTCACTAGGTTCCTTCTTTTTTGTGGGTCAAGGAAGATTTATGGCATCCTCAAATTGAGATCTAGCACCTTCAGATTTTTCTGCAAAAAAAGAATGCTTGCAGCTTGTGCCTCGCCAGAATAGTTCCATGTGACTGATCATTTTCTTGACAAATCAGCTAACATTCAGAAAATGATAAATTAGAGTATCTTGTAAACAAAGTATAATTAACTTGTCTCTTTAATTTATTAGTTGTTCGAATATATTGAAAAGTTGCCTCATTTTTATGATATCTTTAGATTGTTCGGGCAACTCCTCTCTCTGGTTGTTTGAAAACATCTGTGTACCCACATATATATGGGAAAAAATGTGATTTGATTACCTAGTGAAAAAGAAATATATTTCCCACAGCCACTTGAAGAAGATTTGTGAATGTGAAAACCGCAGGACACAGGAGGATCCATTGCTAAGCTTTTAATATGCTTTTCATGGATGGTTCTTTCCTGAATCAAACAACCGATTTAGGTACAACAAGAAACCTTGACTTGTTGTTATTTTTTCTTCTCACAGAGGTTTGCTGCCTCATCAAGAGTAAAACATTGCTAAACCCTCTATAAAGAAAAATACAGGAAAATATGTACTTATGCTACATAGAAATTGGTGATACTCTCATCTAATAGGGTGCGGTATTCTTTCTGGAGCATCATTTGTATGGTCAAGTCGTCAAGACAAAGGTGTTCTTGGTAGTACTACTGACTGTCCTCCATATTCTTTTGGATTTTGATCCATATGGCTCCTGAATAACTTGCTATAATAAACTTTCTTTTAACTAGTTCTGGTAAGAGTAATTCAGACTGATATATGTGAGTGGGGCTTTCTAAGTTTCGAATGATATGACCAACTATTGATATAACCATTAGTTCCTCTGCTCCTGCAGAAGAGGCGCCATGATGCAGAGCGCGTTTTGAGGTCCAAGGAGTTTCGCTTGCAAGATTTTAAAAAGTCATATCTTGCAGAATCTAGCTCCACCGCTGTATCAACAGTAGATGAGCTTCACGTCGAGCAGTCGGTCTGTTCCTCTTTCCATCCTTCTCCACTAAAAATTGCACTTCGGTTTCTGGGTCTTCAGTTTCAAATTCAATGTTTTCTTGATCTTTTAGATGGTATTCCACTATAGTTTATATTTTCTTAAAACTATGTACAGAAAATCCGTGATGAGATACATGAAAGAGAAAATTCATTGGAAGAGCTTCAAGTGAGGCTGAATGAAGCCGACACCAAAGCTAATGATGTCAAAATATCCTTTGAAAATTTGTGTGGTATGCCATTTTTGCTTTCTTTGTCAGGTTGGAATTTCTCCAAGTATATTCCTTCTATATATGCCTTTTAGTAAAAGCTCTTCCATTCTGGAACTGTAGAATCAGCAAAAGTGGAAATTGGAGCCTTGGAGGAAGCAGAGCGTGAGTTAATGATGATTGATAAAGATCTAAAAGACGCAGAATTGGTTCAGTCCTACTTTTCTTATTTTTATTGACACTTCATATTTATTTTTTCCCGCATTGTGATGTTTAATTAAATTCATGGATGTATTACAATTTCAGAAGAAGAATCATTATGAAGATGTAATGAGTAAGAAGGTTCTTTCCCAACTTAAAGGCGCAGAAGAAGAATATCAGGAACTTGAGCACAACCGTAGGGTATGAATAGTTGCTTATATTCATATGAATCCTATGAGCACTAACTGGGATTGACTAAGAAATTATTTATTGTAATACTTACCAAAATAAAAAAATATTTATAGTACTCCATTATCACTTGTGAAGTTTAACTAGTTAAATATAGGCCAGAAAAGCTTGATAAAGTGCTAAACACAAAGGCTCTTAATTAATTAGAATATTTATAGTATACTGGTTGACAATTTTGGCTTTCCTAGATCCTTTTCCTATTGTAATGCATTTGCATTTGTGAGTTTATGATGCTTTCGACTTTATATCATTCTAATTTGTTTTTTGGGCCTGTACGTTTGATTTTTACTAAAAAAATATAGTTACTATTAGGAAAAGAATATTGTCGGATTTCTTCCAACAAAATCTGTTTTTAAGAAGCATCTTCATTGCACTTAGAAATTGGAACTGCAAGTACTTGAGATTTTTTTTTTAAAAATTATTCGTCTTATATTCTGAATTTCATGAAATCACTTAAATGGAGGGATTCAAATTAAGATAGGTGTGGAATTAACCAGAAGTATACTTTTGGTACATTGCTATATTTAGAGATTGATTATTAGGTATATAGATCAGTTACTGGTAGATCTATGTACTTATGTATTTTTGAGTAAGACATTTATTAAGTATGAGATTCCATGAAAGGCCTTAAGTCTTAGCATCCGTATTAAGTCAACAACAACAACAACATACCCAGTAAAATCCCACTAGTGGGGTCTGGGGAGGGTAGAGTGTACGCAAACCTTACCCCTACCCCGGAAGGGTAGAGAGGCTGTTTCCGGAGCATCCGTATTAAGTATATTGTATAATTAGTCAAAATGGTAAAGGGAAGTATTAACATAAGGAAAACTATG